TAAAATAAAATAAAATAAAATAAAATAAATAAAATAAAATAAATAAAATAAAATAAAATAAAATAAATAAAATAAAATAAAATAAAATAAAATAAAATAAAATAAATAAAGGAATTTGTCTGCTCCTTCAACCTGCCTTCGGACTTACTTGGAGATGTGTGTTTGAAACCCTTCCAGCTTCGTCCGAGCAGCAGTCAACAGTTCATACACTTTTTCCTAGAACGGAGAGCGAAAGAGAGAAGGAAAAAATTATAATAATTTAATTGTAATTACGGACTTCAACTCCCAGAATTCCCGAGCATAGCTTGTATAAGGTCCATAAGCCTGTATAAGGTCTTGCAAAAGGTCAATCAATTATAAATAGGGTTCTTTATAAGGTTATAAATACAAGAGATTATTGGAAAACATTGGTCTAATCATGGTTAAAGACGGTTTCTAAAAATCTGAGTGCCAACTTAAAACAAATCAATATATCTGAATATTTCCAAAGAAAAGAGAAGTTACGGGTTTGGGACAAGGGAAATTCACCTGCACTGCAACCCCGAAATTATTCCCGTCTTCAATCCGGGGTACGAGGAGCTGCAGCCAAAGACATATCTGGAAAAAGAGACAAGATCCCAGCTAAGCATCCTTTCATGCACAACCAACCTTTGCCTGCAAACTTTCAAAGGCAATTAAGCTACGATCAAGGATGGGATTCTGCCGGTTTGCACCGGTTTGTGTGAACTGGTAGTTCTAGTGATCTGCTGCCCGCCTACCCCTGCCCTAATCTATCCTGTATTTCCGTGTTTTGCAGCTCATTTGATTCGCACAGCTGTTTTGCTCACCGGCACTGCAGTAGAAGAGCTGAAAACGGGAGGTTTTGAAACGCTGTGCGCGCATGTGTAAAGCACAAATTTGGCGCGCGTGCTCACCAAAACTGTTTGTTTCACTGGTTGAATCCCACCCCTGGCTACGATTCTTTGCCATTTCTCACCACATTCAGTTTCTCCTTGGCTCCCTGGATTTCCGGTTTGACGCGGTTCAGCAGAGCGGTGATTTTCTCATTGTGGCAAACTGGGCCACACGGTGGAGCTGGGGAAGAGGGAGAGCTGCTTGAGAGACCAGGATTGGGTTTAGAGCAAAGACCCCTGGGAAAAACATGGCTGCCCTCCCACGCGAGGTATAAAACGGAAGCGGGAATGGGTGTAAAAAGGAAGCAGGAAGCCGAATGGAAAGGTAAGAATTCTGTTGGGTTTGATTATCTGGTAGTCCCCGACTTAGAAGATACGATCATGGAGTTGGAAGGGACCTTAGAGGCCTTCTAGTCAACTGTTCAGGCAGGAAACCTACACCATTTCAGACAAATGGTTGTCCAATCTTTTCTTATAAAAGAGCAGGAGGAGGAGGAAGAAAGAAAAGAGGAGGAAGAGCAACAGAAGGATGAATAACAGAATAACAGAGTTGGAAGAGACCTTGGAGGTCTTCTAGTCCAACCCCCTGCTCAAGCAGGAGACCCTATACCATTTCACACAAATGGTGGTTCAATCTCCTCTTTAAAACCTCCAGTGTTGGAGCTCCCACAACTTCTGGTGGCCAGCAGTTCCACTGGTCAATGATTCCCCCTGTCAGGAAATATCTCCTTATTTTTAAATATATATGTATATATCGGTAATCCTCATCTTACGACCACAATTGAGCCGAATCCTTCTACTGAGAAGCAAGCCATTGGTTAAGAAAGTATCGCCCCATTTTATCACCTTTATTGCCAGTTGTTAAATGAATCACCGTAGTTAAGTGAGTCACACGCTCATTGAGTGAATTTGGCTTCCTCTATTGACATTGCTCGTCAGAAAATGTCGCAAAAGAGGATCACATGAACCTGGGACACTGTGTCCATCATAAATAAGAGTCAATTGCCACTTTTTTCAATGTCATTGTAACTTGGAATGGTCACTAAATGAACTATTTAGTTATAAGTTGAGGACTACGTTATCTGTATAGATTTCAACGGAATTGAAGGGCCAGATCGCTGGCCTGAATACAAAGGATTGAAACTATGGTAGTCCTCAACTTATGACCACAATTGGCACTTTAATTTCCATGGGGACACAAGATGGTTACGTGAGCCGTTCCTGATTTTACCACTTTTTGCCATAGGTTGTTAAATGAATCATTGCAGTTGTTAAGTAAAGCCTACGGTCATTAAGAGGAACCCAGCTTCCCCACCCAATTTTGCTTATGAGACGCTGGAATTTTGATCACATGACTGTGGAGATACTGTGACGGTCATAAGTGCGAGGACCAGGTTGTAAGTTACTTGTTTCTGGTACAGATAGTCAACAACACACAACAGTTCATTTAGAGACCATTTGAAGTTACCGTGGCTCTGAAAAAAGGTGACTTAGGACTATTTTTCACACTTACGACCATGCAGCATTTCCCACAGTTACGCGATCAAAATTCAGATGCTTGGCAACTGACTTGCATTTATGATGTTCGCGGTGTCCCAGGGTCACACGATCCCCTTTTGCCGCCCTCCAAAGAACACGGGGGGGGGGGGGGGGGGTGATGGGGGATGTCTCAGATTCACTTAACAACCATGTGACTAATGTAACAACTGCAATTCACTTAATGACAGTGGCCAGAAAGGCCGTAACATGAAGTGAAACTCACTTTTTAAAACACAAAAATTCGGAGTTTAATTCTGGTCGTAGGTTGAGGACTACTTATAATGAGGTCACAAAATGAATGGTTGAGGATGGCCTGTAAACTTGCTGAAATTAGCACCTAGATAATAAATGTAGGGATTCATCGTCACAAATTAAAAGAAGAAAAAACAAGAACCAACCAAACAGAGTTTCGGCCTTGGAAAGTTGAAGAGATCTTGTAAATCAAGCACAAAGCTTTTAAAACATGGTGCAACGCTAATTGCCTTCGCACCCTGCCCCAGAGGCCTCTTCCTGCCTCCCTAAATCCTCTGCAACTTAGCTGATCACCCGGGGAGTTGGGCTGCTCGGATCCTATCACAATTCCGTCTTTTAATGGGATTGTATTAGCTAAAAATAGATTTAAAAGACCACAGAAGTTTTTCGAGTTTCGCCCCTTTAAGAAGGATGGACTTCAACTCCCAGGATTCCCCAGCCCAGCATAGGAGACAGCAACATAAGATGGTGGATTCCAACTCCAGAGATTCCCCACCCAACATGGAAAAAAAAGCAACCTCAGCAACATAAGATGGTGGAATTCAACTCCCAGGATTCCCCAGCCAACACGGGAGACAGCAACCTCAGCCACTTAAGATGGTGGACTTCAACTCCCA